CTACCGACACGATGGCACCTAACAACAAGAACAACAATGTGAACTTCCTCGTGTAGGAAGTTCCACTGGTAGGATCAGCACTGAACTACAAACCACAAGGTCGGCAGTTCAAACCTACCTGGAAAACCCTATACAGAGTCACAACTGACTCAATGGTACTTAGCAACAAGAACAACAGTAAGGCTATATGCCATGTTTGTTTTTTTTTTATTGTGAACACAGTGATAGTTTACATGGGAGAACATCATCTTTAAACCAATGTTTCATTGCAATGATTACAATCTCCCATCATTCAACTGTATTTGCTTCCATTCCCTTTTTTTTTGGCAGAGAGTGGGAGGGAGATGTACACAAAACCACTCAGGAATAGACAATAATTTAAACCACTAATGGGCACATTCTGCAAGTCTGCCTCCTGGCTGCCAGCTCTCAGTTTCTATATTTTCATGAGTCCAGAGTCCTCAGCTGTTCCCTCTCTCCTTGTCCCCATTTCTGCTTCCATCTCTGGTGTTGTTGCTTCTCTGGATAGGGTCTCACATTCCGCTTGTGCTCATCTCCCATGATGGTCCTAGGAGCCTGTTTCTGGACTTTAAGATTAACTACTCCCTGTTTTTGTTACAAAACTTCTACCTTTACAGTTGTGCCAGTTGCAATTAGTCATGATAACAATTACTCACTACTGAATCATAAGAATTTTACCCCATCTCTTTTCACCAGACCCATCTAGAGAAGATGAAAACTATTCAGTAGGGACTCTACCTTCCCCTATACACTCTTTAACTAAACTCCCTCTTGAAAACTTGTAAGCCAGCCACTTCATGCCATTATAGCCCCCCCCCCTTCCATTTTAGGAAACCAAAGTCTAAGTTGCCCGTTCCTATCAACCCTGTGTACAGAAGAGTTATGATTGATACTTGATGTGAAGACTCCTTCCCTCTCAGTTGGTGTTTTGAGCTACAACCTCCATGAGTATAGATCAAGTTCATCATATTGTAGCAATTTACACTTGTTTCCTTTTTTTTTTTTATCTTCCTCTAGTCAAGTTCTGATTATCAAGCCAGAAATGATGTCCTTTACACAAGAAGAGTGAAGTCATCCCAGTCAATACAACTATTCCATCTCTGGAGTCCACCACAGTTCTGTACTATCTTCCTCAGTACAGAATGGAGGAGGATAAATTCCTGAAAGCTATATAATGTGTTTTTGTACGCAATATGCCCAAGCATATAAGGTGCATAGTGCACATAGGGGCAAACACACAAGTAGTTAGTCTGGTTTGCAAACAGCCCGCCCCCCCCCAAAAGAAAATCTGTATAATGTCTAACGTTATTTACTTAAAAGCACAGTATACAAAAACAATGATTAAAAATTTTTAAAGGCAGAATGTAATATTGAAAATTTCAAAACAAGCAAACAATTTAATAATAAAGATGCATATTTATTTAATTATAGGAGCACAACATGAAATAGCCATATAAACCCACTGCCAACAAGCTGACTTCTACTCAGTGACCCTACAGTACAGAGCAGACCACTCCCATAGGGCTTACAGAGCTGTAAATCTTTAATCTTTCAGAGCCAGAGCTGATGAGTTTGAATCACTGACTTGTATTCACTGCTGAGTGCTTTAGCCACAATGTTACCAAGGGTCCTTAAAATAGCAATATAATGGAATATAATTGTATAGACATGAAAAATTATAATTATTCAAAATTTTAATGCTTGTTTTTATTGAGGGACAGAGTAGCAAGGTTTTAATTTGTACATACTTACAGTATTTTACAAAGTTTTGAAAAAAGAATGTTAAAAGTGAATTTTGTAAAATGACTACAAGTTCCATTGTGGTAGTAAACAAATACTATAAAAACTCAGTTAAATACCAGCTGCTCTTTAGGAACCCTATGAATAGGTACTGACTTAAATGTACTTAACAACATGAAACATAGGAGATATAATATATTGCTTACCTCACTTTCATCCATGTTCAACCATTGCTTTGGCTCTTCTTCAGTAGCCAGAAAGGCTATCAGTTCTAAAGCAGTAAGACGAGTCTGACGTCTTGATGAGACAAATATCAAAACAGGTTTGGCTGGAGAATGGCTTCTAATTGCTGTTCAAAAGTTGAGGAAAATAAAATGGTTAAGTCACTTATATCCAAATTTGATTTCCATCAAATTATGAATAAAAAATTAATATTATAAATGACTAAGATGAATTATTAATTATAAATGATTTAGGTGAATTCTTAATTTGGTCATAAAATTTAGCACTATCCTAGGTACTACATGGATCTCATAGAGTGTTGGACAAATGAGAAGAGAGAATGATGACTCTGCTTAGAGAGCACATTATGTAGGACAAGGAAGATGTAACTATGTTTGCTATAAGTTCTGTTCTGAAGAACAAAGGAAAGAGGCACTTAAAGACTGAAACTCTTCATAAGAGTTATCCATGGATACTTAGCCTTGAGTTGAGTTTTCTGTTCTTGAGCTGTATTTTTGATGCACTTTTCCTTTCCCAATCAACCATAACAAAAACACCCAAACCATCCAGCTGAATCCATCTCATGGGGTTTCCACAGTTATAAATTGTTATGGAAGCAGAAAACCTCATCTTTCTCCTGTGGAGCCTCCGGTGGGCTGGAACTGCTGACCTTGAGGTTAGCAGTCCAGTGCCTATCCTACAGCATCACCAGGGCTCCTTCAGTCAATGATTTCATTGTTGTTAAGTGCCGTTAAGTCAGTTCAGACTAATAATGCTCCAGTATAGGGTTTCCCAGGCTGCACATTGCTTCATCTTGGTCCCATGGAGCGGCTGTTGGTCTCAACCATTCACCTTGTGGTAAGCAGTCTAGTTCTTAGCCTACAGTGCCACCAGTACAGGGTAAATTGATTCTGGACAGTTCAGTCATACAAGATGATTAAAAAGTCTCTAAAAAAAAGGCCAAGGAAAATTCTTTTTATATTTGCTGTTTCAGTAGATAGAAAAGTTAGGACAGTTTGAAACAATAAACTGGTAAAAGATAAATCAGAAGAATGTTCTCTTTGTTTTTCTAAAAATCTGTGAGTGAGGATTCAAGTTGGAAGACAACAGACTATAGAAGAGGTCTGAAGAGAACTGTTGTCAAGTGTTATAGAATTGGTTCTGACTCATAGTGACTCTGTATAGGGTTTCCGAGAAGCAGCTGGTGAGCTTAAACCGTCAACCTGTGGTTCAAACTGACCTTGCATTCCAGCGCATTAACCCGCAGCACCACACCAGAAAATAATATGCCCAAATTGCAATTTATCTAATGAAGAACCTTGATTTCAAACCATACATTATCTCATTGTTCTTTTCCAATATTGCCTCTTGGTCTGGTTACAGGTTCAGTGCAGTTTGGATTTCTGCTTTCAATACAGTCAGTTGTTCATGATATGCTACCACCTGAAATAGCTGAATGTCAACCAATTCTTTTTAATACAGTGACTGACTTCTTTATACTTCCTGTGTCATTTAACATTTTCCGCTAAGATTCCTTCAGTATTCCAACGTGAGGTTTGAAACTTTTCTTCAATTCTTTTAGCTTGAGAAACGCAGACTGTGTTCTTCGCTTTTGGTTTTCTAACTCCATGTCTCTGCACATTTTATTATAGTACTTTGCTTTCTCAGGCTGCCCTTTGAAATTGTCTGTTCAGCTCCTTTCTTTGATTTGCAAGTTTCGCCGTCTCTTCTTACCATCTATGCAGTCTTTTTTTTTTTTTTTTTTTTAATTTTTGGTTAAGAGGAGTATAAGTATGGAGTTATAGAGATAGGGCTATAGCTAGGTCTAGGCTAGGCCTGAAGCCCTAGTGACCGAGGGATTTATACAATGGACCGCGAACTGCAAGGTAAATCGTTCAAATTCACCAGTTGCTCCGCAAGAGAAAGATGAAGCTTTCTGCTCCCATAAGGATTTACAGCCTCAGAAACACTTTACAGGGATGCCATGAGTCCGAATCGACTTAATGACACACAACCGCCACCACCAGGTTAGGCCTAAGACTTTCTTTAGTGATAAGGTTGTATCAAGGACTAGGATTAGTCCTTAGTTAGGGGTAGGGCTGATTTGCTTTTAGGGTTAAAGTCAGGTTTATTTTTTATTTAAAATTTTTTCTTGAAATTGACTTGATTTTCTCTCTTTTGAAGTTGTGCAACCACATTATTCCCTCTTTTCACTTTATTTTTGTTGTTGCAAACTTATATCTCTGGTTCCCCATTTTCTTGTAAGGTTTGTTTTATATATCCTGGTGTGGCACTGTAGAATCAGCACTGGACTGCAAACCACAAGGTTGGCAGTTCAAGCCCACCAGCTGTTCTTTGGAACCCTATACAGTGCCGCTATGAGTTGGAACCGACGCAAAGGCACTTAACAACAACATATCCTGGACTGGCATTGTAGGATAAGCACTGGACTTCTAACTGCAAGGTTGGCAAAACAAACTCACCAGTCATACTCGGAAACTCTATAGAGAGTCACTATGAGTCGGAACTGACTTGATGGCACTCAACAATGACAATATCTGGGTTGAGTTCTGGGTGATATTATCATACATGTTAATATCAGGTTATTGTCTGCTGTTGTTGGTTCTTTGTCTGACAAACTTCTTTTAGCACTTTTTGCAAGATTGGTACAGTTTTTACAAATTCTTTAATTTTGCTATCATACTTGATGGAAAATCACTGCTGGGTATATGATTCTATTGTATTCTCGTCCGCACAGTTTTTTATTAAGAAACTGAGCTTAGTCTTATAGTCCTCTTTTGTAGGTACGTTTTTGTTTTTCCCAGGCTTGTCTTTGGATTCTTTCCTATCTTTGGTTTTGAAAAGTTTGTTTATAATATGCCTTGGTGATTTTCTTTTGGGGGTCTATGCTGTTCGGAGTTCATTCAACTTCTTGAGTGGCTATCTTTTTGTCTTTCATGATGTTAGGGAAGTTTTCTTCCAACAATGCTTTCACAGTTTTCTCTATAATTTTTTGTCTCTTCCTGTTCTGGAATTCCAATAATACGTAAGTCATTCCTCTAGCAGATGAATATTGAGAGATTTGTCTTTAAGTTCAGTAATTTGACTTCTGACTGATATTCTATTTCCATTCTCTGCTTTGCCCTTCCAATGTGTTATCTGTTTCTGAAGTATTGGTATTAATCTTTTAGCATTCTAATTTGTTTATATATGGTTTCCAATTATTCCTCTATTTTGTTAGATGATCTTGTAGTGTTTTCCTAAAATCTATGGTTTTTATGTGTTTTCCTTAATTTCATCTGCAGTTTTCTTGATTCATTCTCTCAATATGTTGAAAGGACCTAAATATTGTTCTTTTAAACTCCTTTCAAGTAGTTGGGATACCATTTCTAGTACTATACTTTCTGACTTTGCAATTTGTTCATTTGTTTGAGACACTTTGTCTTGTTTCTTCATGTAAGCTGAAATTGCTGTCTCCTAGACATTGTGGTGTTTTGTATTTGTATTTAATTGATGATTGTATGTTGGTGTGTTTCTGCCTGTCACCTGGTGGATGTGATAGAGACTGGGAGTGTGAATGGAGTTCTGTTTGCTGTTAGTGCAGCGGAATTCAGTGTGCGTTTACGTGTCTTCAGAAACAGAGATGGCTTGCCTGACACCCAACCCTACAGAAGTCAGTAAAAATCCTCGTTTTTATTGCCTTTTACATTAGTGGTTGGTGTGTACATTTGAATAGTAATTATAGTAACTCTACCCCAGGCAGAGTAAGCTGGTGAGGGCAGAGATTGACCATGGCCCTGGGTTGCCAGGAGGACACAGGGACAAAGGAGAACTACACTCCCCTTGCCATCAATCTCCAGCTACATCCAGAGTCTCCAGGCTGCTGTATCCATGGTGCTGTTTTTTAAGTGCCATCAAGTTGGTTCTGACCCATAGTGACCCTGTAAAGGTTGATTTCCAAGGAGCAGCTGGTGGGTTTGAACTGCTGACCTTGTGGTTCACAGTCCAGTGGCAATCCTACAGCACCCCTCCAAAAGTATCCACGGGTACTTGCAAAAGCTCAAGATGGCCACGCTGCTCCAGACCAGCCAACAGCTCGCCTGTTTATCTACTTTCTTCCTGCTCCTGTTTCAACTGCATCTTTCAGCTGACAATCAATCTACCTCTGTCCTACCCTGTGAAGCTCAGAGTTCCAGGATAACCATACATATCTATTTCACTTGGTCTCCCATGTCCTGATGCAGTGAGTCTGCTCAGTGTGTTTGCCTATTCCCCCACTAGTATTTGAATTACTGGTAGTATAGCTTCCACCATAGAGCAATATGCAAGCTACCACAGTAAGACAAACTGACAGATGAGTGGTGATTATGAGCTACACAACACAGAACGCTCCACTTCCACCACTGGTATGCAATCAGTCATTTCCTTAACAGAAATAAATAATCTCAACAATAAATAATTCAGCATATTATGAAAAATAAATTCATTTACCTCATTTCTCATTCACAGAACAAAAAATTCTATTAGAATATTACAGAATTGAAATTGTAATCCTCAGATAAATCAGAATAGAGATGTAATGTATTATATATATATATATTAGTACAATATTGGCATCGTTTGTACACATAATCATGAATGGATCTTTGTCTCTTTTTTTAAACCAGCACTTAATGGATTTTTGCTGCTGCTAGAACAGGTGTGGTTAAACAGCTCACAGTAGATTTATTGTTCATTAGTGATTTTGTACAAAGCTTCTGTAGAGGTGTAAATAATCCGAACTGCCAAAATTGGTCTCTAGTTCACAATCAATAGTTCGCTTCTGTCATAAGGCTAATTACAGCAGCTAAAAAGTCACCTCACAACTGTCACCTCACAATCAACAGCAGTTCACATTAGAAAATTTATTTTGGAGGTTATTTTAAATTGATAAAATAAATATTCCTTATGTAGTCTACATAAAACATGTTTAATAAAATAGCAGTGTTATCTTTAAATCTGTCTTGCTTACTTAGCTTGTAAGAGAAGGGAAACCAAAACACACAAGCAGAAACTTTGTTAAATATCACTGAAAATTCTATATTTTATGGTTTTTGGTAAACATTTTGCCAATTTTTACTGTGAAATTTTATTAACTTCAACTATTTATCATTTTTCCAAGTTAAATACCATAAGACCTTAATAGTTTAATATTAAGAGTGATTTACACTTTTCAAATTATACTTTTAATTTATTCTACTAAAAATACATTGTCATTTATGATATCTCTATAAACTGCAATAATAATTCCACATATATTTGTAATACTTCAATTTGAGGTAAACAGCTTTAGAAATTTACAGAAGTTGAAGCAGAATGACCTTTCCAAAGATGCCCACACCATTTAGAATTTAATTGCTACTATGTAATGTGGTTACTAATTTGTTCTAAGAATCTACAGCTTACCCTGAAATGCAGGTTTATTCATACTAGCCATACGAGGACAATAATGTTGACCTGGGAAGCCTTGAATGTGAACTTCCAGTGGAACTGGGCGTACAGATGGTCGGAAATTGAACAAGCCCATCTAGAAATATGAGAAGACGAATTTTCAGCTTACATATTCAATTATATAAGATTACAGTGTCTCTTTTAATGTGATTATCTACACCACACAGTTACATTTCCGATTTAGCAGTGTTCCACATACCTGGTTAATATTGAGCCAGTCAGCAAGGTCTCTGGCATTAGCTAATGCAGTGGATAGACCAACTATTCTAACAGACTTTTCTGTGTGCGATGAGATGAAATTTGTGCGAGACACAATGACCTCTAGAACAGGACCTCTTTCATCCCCTAGGAAATAGGAATAATGCACATTAATCATTTAATGAGCCCTTATACTGGCTGCTTCAGGTACGAGAGATGAGAGTTTGTAAATTGGCTTTAGATATAACGGTACCCACCGAGCAGATGGATCTCATCTATGATGAGAATAGTGACTTTCTGAACATAGTTCCTATTTTGCCAGCTTCTGCTGATTCCATCCCACTTCTCTGGTGTAGTGACAATAAGGTCAGCCTTTGCAATGGATTTCATATCAGGAGTCACATCCCCTGTTAGTTCAATAACTCTGGAGAGGAATAACAATGATCCCTTTAACTTCTCAGGTAACACATGACCTTGGAAAGGTCTCTTAAAATGAAATTTTATAATGCTTAAAACTATCTCCCTTTTATTTCTGAAATTTTCTGTGCATTCAGTCTAAAACATGCTTCTAAGAATTCCAGGTCATTTTCTCCCATAAAGCAAATGATATGCAAAATAAAATCCCTAACACAGATAATCTATAATTTTCATGTAGGTATGCAAAGGTATCAATTTTTGATAACAAATTTACAGAATCTCTGGCCTTTAGTGCAGCTTTATAGAGTTGAACTTATAGATCTTTTTCCACATGGCAGAATGAACATCATTATAATGAGGAAAAGTGTAAACTTATTAAGACAAAGAGAGGCATTCATTAAGAATATAATTGTGTTCTATAGGGTAATTCAAACATAAGAGACAAGCCCAGAGGCAAAAAGAAAAAAAGAAAAAAAAAAAAAAAAGACATAGAGATCAGAGAAAATATGTACCACCTCATTTTCAGCAGACCACAGTCATACAGAGGCTAAGATGTAAAAACAAGAGGCACAGATTTAAAAGCCTGTGCAAGTCTAAAAGAGAATGGGTAGGAAAATCAAGAGGTTCATTCCAAATGGAAAATAAACACCCCAAATTTTTTACATTTCATGTTAACACTTGAGAAATGCACATACAAAATAAGAATAGCTTATCCAAGGACAATTTATGAAAACTTCTACTTATTTTTCTAATAAAACGATTAAAATCTTCTGTATTGCTTGAAAGTACCATAATTTATTTAATGATTTAGGCTGCCTGCATCTTTTACTATGAAAAAACAAAACTGCAATGAATATCCTTCCACATGTACAGCATTAAAATATTAATGAAAAAATAAAGCATCATGATCTCCAAAAATAACTTCCATTTATTTTTTCTAAAATTATTTACATGTAAAATGTCTTTTAAGCTATTTTGGAAGTTACTCTGAATGATATAAAAGAAAAATAAAACAATGTAATTTATGTTTCATTCCTTTTAGATTATAAATATCTTGAGATAATTCTCTTACCAAATAAAAATATTCACATGAAGCAATTTGAGTGATTTAATTGTTCAATTTTAAAACAATCTTTCCAATATATTTAAAATTGGCTGGTTCAGAAATTATGAAAATAGTAATAAATTTTAATAGTAACATTTGTTGTTGCTGTTAAGTGCTATCGAATTGGTTCTGACTCATAGAGACCCTGTTTGGGTTTCCAAGGAGCCACTGGTGAGTTTGAACCACTGACCTTGTGGTCAAGTGCTTATCCTATAGTGCTGTACCAGGACTTCAACAGTAACATACCTTCAAATAAAATTATGAAACACATTGTAAAAAAATTCAATAATTTTATTCCACTCTTTCAATTGATGGTCCTTTTATACTATTCAAAGTATTTCTTATGAGTAAAAGCAATAACATACTTTTTGCCAAGTTTTTCTTCAATTCTAACTTTCCAGTCCTCCATTCGTTCACGTACAAGGGCCTTTAGGGGTGCAATATATACAGCCTAAAAATGGGGAAGAAGGGGCAAAAAGGTGATAACGAAAATAGTGACACTATTTTAAATAAAAGTGAATTTCATGATTTTTGTCAAATATGACAGTGTAGTTTTAAAATATATCTTTTAATACTGAAGAATTAAGTTTCTAATTTATGGGCAAAGTCATTTGAGCTTAATCAAACTACATTTACCCAAAACAAGATAGAAATGTAATACATCGTAATATTTTTTATCATAAGAATACTGATATGAACAAATCTTAAATATTTTCTACAAAGTACCAGAGGCATTTGCTCTTCATATTTTATAATGAAATTACCACTTATCATAATGTGTACAAATAAAATAAGTATATAACAATAAATTACATACAGAAAATGAGGATTCTAATAAAAATAAATATTTTTCCTAGTATTATGACCAAGACTTATATGAGTTCTGTATAAATCTTTCATAAAGAAATTTACTGATTTTGAAGTTTTGAAGACAAACTATTTAAATTTTAATTCAGATTTTATGGAAGTACAATTACACATTTTAGGTGTTTAATTCTTTTTTTAAAAAATCTGGTCTTTAGTAATTCAAATCTATATACAGATTTTCTACTGTCCATTAAAGAAAACCTTCTTCCTTATATAAAAGGTTTCAAATTTAGTGTGGTGCAATGAAATGGAACCACAGTTCAATGAAACTTCCTATGAACTACAGCCATCTTACAATGAAGAAAGGAAATCTGACCACCATTTGGTCAGAAATCCACCTAGAGCACAGTTACGCTTGAGGTACATTTTCTTATGGCCAATATTTCTGATATGATGTGCTATCCTCCCCTCCTGAGATGTTTATTGAGGGAGTGATAAATCTACTCAATGGGTACTTACAACTGGCTAGTTCAGAGATTACAAGTGTACTTACAACTGGCTAGTTCAGAGATTATGAACCATCTTTTCTAACTGATTTCAAGCTGGTGCTTTTTGCAGACAAACCTTTGACTTGGGGTATTTGTTGAAGACTCTGAAAATGGCTAATTCCGCTGCAACGGTCTTCCCTGATCCAGTGGGTGCACCAAGTAGGACGTTACAGTCTGTGTGGTACAGTGTATGAAATATTTGTGTCTGTACAGGGTTAAAGTGGGTGAACTTATACAAGGCTTCATATTCTCCACATCCCAAAGCTGTGATTGGTAAAGGCTGCAGATCCAGTAATTCTGAAAGATGCAGAGGAACTGTCAGATAATAACTGAAAAATATGTACAGTACTACATACTGTATCTAAAGGAGAAAAATTACAATGATTCTTAATTATTTAGAGGAAACAAAAAGCTTAACAGACGCTTGTATATCAGTTGCACATCTTTTCCCTCTATTACTACATTCGTTAATAGTGACATACTGGACCCCTCCCTTCGTATTGTCACTGTGGTTGTTAAGTGCCATTGAGTCAGTATGATTCATTGCAACCAATGTAAAGAGTTTCCAAGTTGTGGCTGGTGGGTTTGAACCACCAACCTTGGGGTTAGCAGACAATTGCTTATCCTACGGCACCACACCAGGACTCCAGTCCCTGTGTAACCCAATTATGACATTATATTTTTTTCTTCCAGCTAGAAAATCAACTTGAAATGTGTGTGAAACTAAACATGTTCGAGAAAAAAAGTAAATTGACTCTAATTTGAAGAAAAATGAAAATAATTTGTAAACTTCAGTTCTGAAATGGTCATTAATAACACATTACTTTTGATGTGTGGCACACCTGATCAGATCAGATAGGCTGAGCGAGGTGTTACTCTAGCCAATTAAAAATGAAATCAAGTCTTTTCCAATTTAGTAACAAAATAACTACAAAGTCAGTGTCTATCTTTAAACTTTATAAAGTTTGAAGAAAATTCCTAGTGCAATTGTTGTTAAGTGCTGTTGAGTGTGTTCTGGCTCATAGTGACCCTGTATAGGGTTTCTGAGGAACGGCTAGTGGGACTGAACTGCTAACCTTGAGGTCCAAACAGACCTTGTGGCCCAGTGCTTATCCTACAGCTCCATATCAGGACTCCTAGTGTAATAGAGTATTATCAAATAAGTTCTATAAGATAAGTACAAATAAAAGTGAGTAACAAAAAAACCCAAACCACCACATTCAACACAACAAAGGCTTCTCTTTTCTATGAAGAACTAAAGCCGAAACACAGACTGAGGCAAAACCAAAGTGTTTTCTAATCTATAAGGTATTATGCTGTTGTTGTTGTTATGTGCCATGGAGTCGGTTCCGACTCATAGCGACCCTACACAGGGTTTCCGAGGCTGTAAAAATCTTTACGGGAGCAGATCGCCTCATCTTTCTCACGCAGAACCGCTGGTAGTTTTGAACTGCTGACCTTGTGGCTCGCAGCCCGTTCGTAACTACTACACTACTAGAGCTCCTTATAAGGTATTATAAGATACTTAAAATACTTATGATTGCATTTAATTTTTTATCCATTGCCTCTCCATGGTTGGAGAAATCACCTGGTGTTTGGTTCTTCGCTGTGATGATTTCCATTCAACACTGTACTGTTGAGATTAGCAGAAATATACTAACCTAACAGAATGATGCTCATTTTTTTCCTTTCTACCTTTTAAGTATATTGGAGCATCAATGAAAGGACTCCTTCAATGACATGAAAAAAAATCTGTATGAATTATTTTTCTAGCTGGTGAACAACTTTTCCTTCCTTCCCATGGTAACTTAGGTGATGGGAAACGCAACATACAACAAGAGAAAGGTTGGCAAAGGAAAGAGGAAGGTAGTGGAAGGCAGGGGGAGGAATGCAAGAGTCAAAGTGAACAGAAATAAATACTGTTAACTGATGGTACTTGGAGGGGATTGAGATCATAGAAATGAAATGTGGGGTATGATTTGGTGAATGTAAACTAATGATCTACTCTGTAAACCTTCACTTAAATCACAATAAAAAAGTTAAAAAAAAAAAAATTATTGAACTCAAAGCAACAGCCTGAGAAGAAGTTGAAAAAAGGAGGAGAATGTCAGCTGTGTGTTTGTCCCATGGCTCCCACCTATCCCTATCTGCAATGTAAGCTGGTGGATAATGACAAGGAATATTTTCTTTAGAAAGTTGAGAGTATCAGAAATTAAATATATTTAACACTTGAAAATTTTAAAAGAGGGAAAATCCAAAATACGCCACATGTGAAGAGTAAAAAGGTTGTGAACAGTATGGCATACTTGGTCACGAGTAGGCAGATCTTAAGTTTCCCTCAGTTTCTGAGAGAGGTCCAAAGTGAGTTTGGCTAGAGAGCTACGTGGCCTGTCAAGAGCGTGTCAGCACTGACCTCTAAGAGGAGAGAGCTATGGTCATCGAGATATATGATGCTATGGTGGCAAGCAAGGGCTAGTATACTGTCCACAAATCACACTCTGCAAGCTGCATAAATAAGGGCAGACTAGATCTAAGGATAACTCTAAATTAACACCCTATGGCAGCTGCTTATATCTTTAGTAGCATGAATCATTCTAAGAAACACAGGTAGGAGTATTAAAACAGAGCAAACAAGAACTGTACTGAGAACACTGAGTTGTTACTCATTACAAAGACTGAAGTTGTGAGGATCAGAAAATTAACATGACTTAGAGAAGTTATATTTATGTATTTTTGAGGAGTCCATCAGTGGAGTAAACAGTTAAACACTTGACTACTAGCTGAAAGGAGTCCTGGTGTGGTGCTGTGGGTTAACGTGCTGGATTGCAATGTTGGTTTGAATAGCAAGGGTGGTGGTTCAAGCTCACTATAGCCACTCCTAGGAAACCCTATACAGGGTCGCTATGGGTTGGAACCAACTCAATGGCAATTAACAACAAAAACTAGCTGAAAGGTTGGCAGTTCTCTCATACAGAGACACCTTGAAAGACAGGCCTGATTCTGAAAGGTCATAGCCTTGAAAACCCTGTGGAGAAGGTTCTACTATAAACACCAGGTGTCACCAAGAGTAGGAATCAACTCAACAGCAACTACAACAGCAGCATATATCTTTGAGTACTTGGGACACGGCAAAAGTGATGCTGAGAAGACAGTTTATTGCAATAAATGCACACATCCAAAAAGAAGAAAGAACCAAAATCAACACATTAAAATAACATCTACAACAATTAGAAATAGACCAGCAAAGTAAACCAAGAGTCAACAAAGGAAAAAAGGAAATAATAAAGATCAGAGCAGAAATAAACAAGATATAAAACAGAAAAACTATAGAAAGAATCAACAGGACAAGAAGCTGGTTCTTTGAAAGAATGAATAAAATCAACAAGCCATTGGTAAACCTAAGAAAAGAAATGAGGGAGAAGACACAAATAACACGCATAAGAAATCACATGGGTGATGTCACAACAGAACCTATAGAAATAAAAACGATAATAACAGAATATTATGAAGAGCTGTACTCCAATAAATTTGAAAACCTAGAGGAGATGTAACAGAAAAGGAAAGAGATCTGTAGAAATTAGAATAATTTATGTAAAAAAAAGAGACCAAGGCACAGAGAACAGAAACAAGTTTCATGTTTGATAGAACAATCAGAATTGGGCTGGATTTAGTTTGTTTTTTGGGAACTGAAATAAGAATTAAGGCCTATCAATAAGTTTTATAAAATATATACATACATAGATATCTAATTTTACAATTTCTCTTTCACTATACATTGATAAATAAGTTGGATTTTGATTCATATTCAAACAACTTTAATGGCACTCAGACTTTTCAACATGAATAACAGTTTTGGAAATTCATGAATTCAAGTTACTGTCTAACACGTTACCTGTATGAGGAGGATGTCTCTCTGGCAGAATCAGATGTTGAAAGTTGATAATACATACAGCCTCAGCTCCTAACCATCTATCAGACACTGCTCGGATATAGTACTGGGAAGGCAAAGGCTCAAAAATAGGGATTGTAAATATCAGTACTTGAGCTTCTTTACTAAAGACCTAATGGGAAATAAAGATGAAAATGAACATGATACAGATTTTATTAATCTATTATTAATAAAATGCCATCCCACAGCAAGAGCCTCTAAAAAGTATCTTGGATTTTTAAACAGTTGCTTTATTCAGGTACTTCAGAAAGTTGCAGACAGTTACACTCTGAATATAGCTGGTATAATAGAAAGCAAAATTTATATTCACTTTATATTATGGTTTTATATGCATATCATATTTAACTTATGATCAGACTTTACTTTCCAAAATTTCATTCATTTAACTACTAGTGATTTTATCATATAAAATCACCATCTATTTACCTAGTATTTTTCTTTAAATTCTGTCATTATCTTTAGTAAAACAAAAGAATCACTTGGCACAAACAGAACGCTACCATGAAGACGAATACAATGAAAACAAAACATTGCTACGAAATTCTACTGCTGTCTATCCAAGGATCTCAGCCTGAAGCTTGCTTTCTTTTTGATACAAAAAATGACAAATGAAGCATTAAAGACACTGAATTCAGTCTTTTTTCTTGGGATTTGTAGGGAATAAAAGAGGGAATGTCCTTTTCCCTACGTGATTCAATCACTGCTTAGCACAGTGTGCGTGTAATAGCTAAAATTGTATGTATCTCACCTGTGTACATATTCCACACCTATGTCGTATACCATGGTAAACATTACAATGGAATTTCTCAAACTAAGCTGATACTGAATACATCATAACTGAGACATTTAATTAATGTTTTCTCTTAAATCCAAACAGATACAAAAATGTATACATAAAGATTTAATGGTACCATGAAATTATACTGAAATAAAGTAAAAAAAGTAATTTGTTTAAACTTTCTTATTATGATAGCAATACCATTAGAATATACACACAAATACATATTTACCTGTTTTTTTAGAATTAAAAAATATTCGGAATGATAAATATGATCATTTGTAGGATCTTCTACCCAAATCCACCAGGGTTCTCCTACTGTCCCATGGACCTAGAAGAAAAATGGCATCCTAATACTATGGATATCAAAACTCACGTTAAGACACACTATTGTTTATATACCCAGCATCCATTTCTCTCTCTCTTACCTTTACTGATGTGTAATTTACAAACATAAAATTCTTTCATTTTGAGTACACTGGTTAGTAGTGTTGTAGGATCTCAGCACTGGACTGTGAACCACAAGGTCAGCAGTTCAAACCCATAAAGCTGCTCCTCCGAAACCCTACATACGATTTCTATGAGTTGGAACTAAATTGACAGTACTTAACAACAACGACAACAATATGAGTTATACAACCATCATCATAAGTCAATTTTAGTGTTTTCATCACTCCTAATACAAACCCTATGATAGTTAAGGTTTTGTGTCAACTTTACAGGGCTGGGACTCTCAGTGGTTTAGCAATTAAGTAGTTATCACCTCTATGATGAGATCTACTGTGATACAGCCAGCCCATGATGTTATCTGAAGTGATCATATCTTATGAGTTATAAATCCTCACTTCTATGATGTTAGTGAGGTCAGATACAATCAACAGGATTAGGGTGTATCTTGAGTCAATCGCTTTTGAGTTCTGAAAGAAGAGACAAGTGAGCAGAACTCAGAGGGCCCTACTACCACCAAAATAGAAAAGCTGTGAAGTGGAGCTCCTAAATTGTGACGCTCCTAAAGCCCGAGGAAGGTTGATGCCAAGATGTATGAGGATCTCCAAAAAAATACTGGCACATTGATGCTGAAAGGAGAGAAGAATCTTTTCCCAAAGCCAACAAAGAGAAAACCTTCCTCTAGAGTAGGCACTCTGAATTTGGATTTCTAATCTCCTAAACTGTGAAAGAATAAACATCTGGTTGCTCAGGCCCTCCACTTGAGGTTACCTGATAAAACAGTACTAGGCAATTAAGACATATCCATTAGCACTCACTTCCCATTTCCTACTATCCCTGCTTTGGGCCTCGCATCAAGGCCTGAATCATAAATCTACTGTTTCCTAATGGTGGTGGTGGTGGTGGTAGTGTGCCATGGAGTCAATTTTGACTCATAGCGACCCTGTATGTGTTTTCTGAGGCTGTAAATCTTTATGGGAGCAGAAAGCCTCGTCTTTGTCCTGTGGAATAGTT